ACCATAAACCTACGAGTGGGATATATTAATTTGTTATTTTATCATTTTCTTTTCTTTTATCTTTTTGTCCAGAATCTTAACCTCATATTACATCATCATGCATAAATAATTTGGGATTGTATTATAAAAAAAATCTATTTTTTTTATAATACAATCCCATTTATTAATATAAATATACATATATCTCAATTAATTTTATAAAATGTAAAATTAATAATTATATAAATTTCTAGTAACTATTATAACAAACCTTTAATTTTATTTTATTAGGAAATCCCGTTGATTTGATTCTTATCCATTAATATATATATATATATATATATATATATATTCTCTCCCTTCTTACACCTTTGATTAATTTATTTTTTAGTGAAATCGAGTTTTTAATATTCTTTCTGTGTAGCAAGATTGAAGATGATCAAGTGCAACCCAAGAGTGACATGGTCAAAATTTTAAAACTAATAATTTTTGTAACCAGGAAAAAGAAATTTTTAATGGGTTTCAAATAATAGTTTTATATTATTTTTCAATGCACTTTCTTAAAAAAAATATATTTGAATTTAAATTAATTAATTCTTATTATAAAAAAATTAAAATTAAAATTTATAACCTTTTCGTAATAAAATGTTACATAAACTAAATTATAATTTAAAAATTAATTCTCTATTATAATTAAATTCAATTATAATATTTATTTTGAAATAGATTAATAAATGAGTTCAAATCATATCTTTAAAACAAATTCAGTTCAATTCAAAGAATTCCAAAAATATCACTGAGGATGCACCGTTCATATAAGTTCCTTGAAGCTAAAGATTAAAGCTAAAAATATGTATGTCTTTGTGTAATATTAAAATAATGATTTTATCAGTGAAAAGACTCTTGGATTGATGTCTTTTTAGGGGTTAAATGGTAAATTTGTTCGATTAATCTGTCATTTGATAATTGTTTTTGGATGCTTTTATTTTTTCATTATGCTTTTGCAGAGTAAAATAATTTTGCTATTGATTATGAGTGTGTTTGGTATTGTGGTAGTTATTATGATTGTGATTTGAAAAAAGTTATTTTATAAAAAATACTTTTAATTGAAGTTGATTTGAAAAAATAGGTATTTGGTTAAAACTATAATTAAAATTGAGGTTGAAGAAAAAGTAGTTTAATGTGTTTGGTTAAAAATACTTTTGAAATTAAGTTATAAAATAATTTTAAAAAATATATATTAATATTGATCGTTTTAAATTTAAATATTGTAGAATTAATTACTCTTATTACATTATAAAATAAATAATACTTTATATAAAATATTTTTTATTATTCCATTAAACTAT